TGCTAACACACCCCGCGGCACTGTGCCAGGTTTAAATATCTTCTCATAAAAAGAGTGTGTGGGATTATTCAAAAAAAAAAAAGCACAAAAAACACCAAATTCCTCCCAGATAGTTAATCTTGTAAATTTTAGGCACTCGTTATATAAAACTTGGAATTTGGAGGGATGTGCATGAGAAGCCATGCTGTAAATGAGTGGGGAAAATGTTTCTATGTCGGGATAAACTCTGAGGTGCTTATGTGAGTTACTCTCAGAGGAGTTCAGAAAAAAAAAACTAGGAAGCCATTGTTATGGGTCCCACAGTGAAGCTTGTGTGACCTTTCACTTCTGCCTCTCGATTGCTCATTGCCTCCTCCAACTCCATCCTCATCCTCAAGTCTCGTCCAGATTTTCGGAGACAAGGAGTCAGCAGACTTACTCATCAGTGAGTGTGAATATGGAACGGCGCGAGAGGTGGGAAATGTTGAAGTAATAGTAGATACCAAGACCATCAGTACTTAGCATCATAAAAGTATCTCTTAAAAGTTTAGCCACAAACTTCAATTTGTTTTGGTGACTTTATGTGATAGAGCGACACAAAGTAATGCATGTTTGTGCATGTTTTCTCACATTTTCATAAATAACAATCAGACAAATGTAGCACTTTTTTTTTATTTTCAGCCCTCTGCACTGCGATATACCCAACATTCTCCAGTGGGAGAATGCAAAAGAGTTGAAGTGAGCTGGATGTCGACCTTCTGCCACTAAACATGCAATCAAAGGTTCAAAAACGACTTGGATAAAGATGTATTAAGGTCTCAAAACGGCCTACTCAAAGTCCAGACGTATATCCAACTGAGAAGCTGTTAGCTGTAGCAGCAGCTCAGGGTGGAGAAGCTGAACACAAACGCACTTCCCATTTTTATTTTTTTTTAGATTTTTATTTGTAAAAAAAAAAAAAAAAACAGAAAAGGAAACCATCTTTCTCCAACAACTCTGCACTGCACTGTGGTTGCTGTACAGATTCTAGAGCTGCTATTCGTTTTTTTTTTTTATACTCCACCGGAGTCACGGAGAGTTGCGTGCCATTGAGAACCTCTGCAGCAGGACCAAGTGAGCTAATATAAAAGCAGCAGGACAGACTGAAAGTGTGTGTTTGTGTTTACTCCTATACTGGCTCTGTTCCATCGTGTCAGGGCTTCATAACACTGCACATGTGACAGTGCCAAGATTTGTCCTTAGCTAGCCCACCCAGGATGGCTCGGTAATGGCCGTGTCTAATCTGGTACTCTGAACACACACACACACACACACACACACACACACACACACACACACACACACACACACACACACACAGATACAAAAGGGAAGGCTTAGGTGACCAGTTCCTCTTTTGTTAATTTAGGCGTACCCTGTCATACAAATGCTGCATTCTTTGGCAAATGCTTGAATAACAGTGGTACTTATAAGGTTCAGTTTCATGCCAATTCCAGAACTTTGAATCAAAATGAATGGATTTAGTGAGCTGTCAGCAGGCTGGGCTGTGAAATGGTTGGTCTGCACCTGTCCTGCGGTCAACCAGAGAGCCTAAAATACCTGGTAGCTAAATTCATTCTTTCCATTTCCTCACAATAACTTTAGTCAAGTTTTAACCCAGCAACAATCTCATTTATTGTTCTCAGCCATGTAGAATGCTGTGAAAAAGATCTTCCAGACATAGACAACTAGACAAGATGCACTTTTAAAATGATTATTTCCGTTAACTGTGAAAAAGGACAGAAGAAATCTATCCAAACCTACGCTGGCCTGTGTGAATCCCCTCTAAGCCAAAAACAGCTTTGATTAATGGAAACGGATCCACTCGTATGTGCAGGATTGTTTTAACGAAGACACATTGTAAAGTTTTCAATACCACGGCATCTCAGTCAGATTTAAGTCTGCACTTTGACTCCTGATACCTTCAATTTGGCTTTCGTGAGCCAGTTAGAGATGGATTCGCTGGTGGATTTTGGGTAAGTGTCCAGCTGTGTGCCCTTAATGTGCTTGAGCTCAAGGTCAAAAGCCTAAGACTGGACCTTCAGAGGTGAGAGGCTCAGGAAATAGCACAATGTTTTGTAATTAGTGGAATGCCGGCTCGTTCTCTCTCAGTCATTTTATCCTTGGGCAAGACACTTCAGGACCAAAATTGCAATCAGAAAATGTTGAACCGGTAGCTTGAGGAAAAACCCAAACTTGTTAAGGTCCGTTAGCGTACACTGTGAAAGCCAAAGAAGTTGTGCCTGTGTGGCGAGGGGAGTATTAAACTCAATGTCAGCGAGTTGGGGGCACATTCCTCAGTTGATTTAGTGGACATTAAGATGAAGAGGAATGTGTCAAAGCTGCAGAGGCTTTAGTCCACGGTGGTGTAAACCGCCTGGGAGGAGCTCCGAGCCTTTCTGACAGCCCCGCTATGACGGATGACTGACACTGGGCTTAACGTGAGAAGGACAGAGAGCAGACAAAAGACAAGAGGGGAGGGTGGGAAAAAGAGGGAGAAGCCTGTAGGAAAAAAAGAAATATGAGAGACGTGACTGAGGAGGACGTAAGCAGGAGAGAGAAGGAAAATGATCAGAGATTCAACAGCTATCAGAGGTTATGTGCAGTGAGGTGAGGTAAATAAAAGAGTAGTAACTAAGTCCAGTCAGGAGAGGAGGAAAATGTGCCAAAAGCTGGGATAAACGGGAGGAAAGAATGTGAGGAAAAGTCACAACTCCCCCAGGGACCAAAAAGACCAAGAAGAAAACAACGTCAACTCAAAAGAGTTTCTGAAGCTTATCTTTATTTGCTCAAGATGGTTTGATAGTTGGAAAAAAAAAAGATATACAGAAGAGAAATACAGAAAGACTCTTTTTCTTAAGGTCCCATTTTTATTTTTTTTTTTAACATCGGGTCAGTTGTGCAACACTGACAGAACTGTAGATCAAAGGAAACCAACACAAATTCTTAGTTTTCTCAACTTTTCTCTTATTGAGAACATTTCAAAAAACATCTGAATCAGACTGCGGTGGTGACCCAACGCTTTTAAACTCGAAAGTGGTGCAAAAGTACTAAATCATCAAACAAAATCACCTCAAAAACAAGCAGATTTCTTTATTCGGTCCTGAGACGGTGTAAGCCTTTCAGGTTCGGTCGCGTGGAGACGACACGACTGAACCTTTGGAGAACAACAGCTCACAGAAACGTTAAGAATCTCTACATATTTTTTGTTATTTTTCAACTAACCTGACAGAAGAGCTGAAAACGGGAATGAAGAAGTGATCCCAACAAGAACTGTCTGTGTATCAAAAGTGTGATGCAGCTCAAAGGTAAACGCTGGGCCGCAGCTTCTCATGAAGTGGGGAAAAAAACGGTAATCGTATCGAACTAAGATGCTTTTACTGTCTTCACAGAGCTGAAATCTTCAGGCTCCAGCAACTGATATGTTGACCAAGATGAACCTCCAGTTTAACACTGCGCAGACCACTCAAGTAAAAGGTTTAATAAATGTGTTTTTTTCCCCCCCGCCAAATAGTTTTAGAAAATTATTCAAAGAAACTTCTTTTAGAAGTGAATGCCACACTGAAAATTTAGAAGAAAAAAACAAAAAAACAAAACTTGAGTACATTTATTATAAGTGTGTGTGTGTGTGGGGGGATGTTTCAAGAATCCAAAAGTTTGATGATTTTCTTTCCACATATTTTAAGATAACCAGACTGTCTCTAAAGTTTTGATTGGCAATCAAGTAATCTTGTTTCACTGGGGAATAAATATGATGTGACTCAGGAGCCAGGTTCACGCTGTGCAGGGATGGCCTCTGGGGAATAAATATGACATGAAACAGAGCATAGTTTCTCTCAGCCACACTTGTAAATCAAAAAATACACGAGAACATATCATTCAAAAGGAGCAGGTTTTCCGCTGTGCAACGATGACTTACAAAAATTATTAGTCGGTGTTTGAAATTTTAAGGGGAAATTTATAATAGCTTGTTACTTTCCGATTCCTCTCATGTAGGAAAGTAGTAAGTGCCTCCATAAGGTCTTCTTTTGTTCGCTCTCCACTCCTCCTGTCCAGAATCCAATTCTGCTTTCCCATCCAAAACTTCCCATTTCTGCTGCGATTCTGCATTTGCAGCAGCAGCCGTGCAGTCTGCCATCTCCCGTCGTACAGAAAGGCATTGTTACCAACAACCTTTTTATATAATCAGGTTCACACAGTGTGACATGCTCAAAATCCGTTTCGGAATCACTCGCTGTGTGCCTGTGTGATGTGTGTTGATCTTCCTAATTCAGGAAGTGGCTACAAGTTAATAGCTCCTTGCCTCGACTTGCCCACATCCGCAGTGAGAGTAATAATTAAAAAGATTAAAACACCTGGAACTGTGACAAGGATGGATGGACGATGATCCAAGTTTATCTGAGCAGGATGATGTGGGAGGTAAAAGAAAATATCTCGAAAGCTCGCTCTGTACATCAGCTTTAAAATTCAGATCCAAGCTTTGCAAGGTGGATGCATGATTTAAAACGGACCCAGAGAGCAAGAAATCACCAACTGAAAAAAAAATAAGAGAGCAGCATAACAGATAAAGTAGGTTGAAAAAAAAGATGTTTCTACACTGCAGAGTCTGACAGTAATTATCCATACCATTCTGTCAAATTGCCTCAATAGCTGCTAGAGTTAAGAAAACCAGTGCAACAAAAAGCTGTATCACTCTTTGGATGCACAGACAGTACATTTTAACACAAACGTCATGTGTTTTTTTAAATTGTTGTATATGTTAGCAGTAAAAAAAAAAAATCTACAAAGTAAGCCCCCAGCTACATCTAACAATCTTCAACCTGATAAGGATGACAGAGTTATTCTTTCGACGCAAAGAAAAATGTTAAAACAGCCGAGAAAAGTTTTCTTCACACCTCTCTGACTACAGTACATTTGAGGGAACAAAGATCTGTGTAGTGCGTGTTTGTTTTGATCGAGAAAAGATGCAACGCACAGGCAGAGATAAAATAAAAAAACAAAAACAAAAACAAAATAAAAAGGCATCAAAAAGCAACAACATCCAGCGAGCAAAGAAATGTGCACCCACTTCCTGACGCTGTGCGTAAACATGACCTCGCTTCCTGCGTGATTCCTGAATGTGTCCGCATGCTCCGTAAAATACATTAAAGTGCAAACACCATTTTTATACGAGTCCCTCGTGCCTCGTAAAGCGACTCGTTTACATTAGATGATGATTGAAATAGTTTCTGTCCTCTTCTGATTTTTACAGCTGCGTGACAAGTAGACTGAGTCAAAGTGCACAAGATTAAAAAAACGAAAAGAAAAGAAAAGAAGTAAAGCTAGGAAACAAGCTTTCTGTGTCATTTTGTATTTAAAATTGCTGTTCACCCCTGTGTCCCAACAACCCCCCACTCCCCCCCGGTTCCCAACCCTGACCCTAAACCTCTGATGCTGCTGATGATGATGGTGCACACCCCTGCTGGTGGAGTGGTGGGCGGAAAGGGGGCCGAGCTCTCACACGGTGAGGGAGATGAAGCTGTTGTATCTCTGGATGTTCCTCTTGAGGATCTCGGAGCACGGCCCCAGCACGCGCTCGAAGCGGGGCCGGTCCAGCTTCACGCACTTGAGGGGTCCGCGGGCGACGACGGTGGCTGCCCGGGGACGGTTCAGCAGCAGGGCGATCTCACCTGGACGCAACAGGAGCGGAAGGTCAAAATCAGAGATGGATGGCAAAGTAATTAGAAGGACGATGCTCACCAAAGTAGTCTGAGGGTCCGAGGCGTCCGACCTCGACGTACTCCTCGTTGTCAGATCGGCGCTGCAGAACAGAGGCTATTCCCTGCACACACACAGAAACAGAAAGGTCCTCAGCTATGTAGAAGAAAGGCAAAACTGTGGAAAAAAAAAAAGTGGACAGGAGACTGAAAATCATGAGGAGGATTAGGCTGAGGAGAAAATTCCTCTGCTTCATAAGAACACAGGTGCACTGGATTTAGTCGTAGGCGCTGTGGGACGAACACCTGTTGAGTGGGACGCACACGAACAGGGACGTCCAAGACGGGACAGGACAGAAAAATCCATTATCTCCGTCCCGGTTCCTCCGCTGAATAATAAACACAAACATCTAAGCCCACTTGGGGATGAAGTGAGTCATCACTGTCTCCATCACGAAATCCTCTAAATCAGAACTCATCCGTGAACTGGAAACTGCTGTATTGTCCAACAAAGAGGAGCTTTAAGTCCTTAAATGACCCCCAAACCACTGCACAAACACACACACACACACACACACACACACACACACATGCATAAATTCTGAGCTAATATTAGAAAACTCTAAATCAAAAAAGCACCTGAGTGTCTAACAACTCCAGGGGATGCATATATTCATCATGCATTTTTGTTGTTGTGGGAAGCTTGACTGTGTGATTCATCTAACAAGCAAAGGCAAGGGGAAATTATTTGGATTTATTTTGGCCAACAAAGGATTAATCCTGCAGCTGCTAACAAACTTCAAACTACATGCCTGAAAATGTACAATTTTCCAAAATTTCCCAGAAAACACGTTTGAAGCTGCACTCGATGCACGCTTTGCAAGCACATTCAGCGCTAATCTCGAAACATGCGACGTTTTAAGAGCTGCTGTAATTGATGGCAGGTAAAAAAGGAAGAAAAAAAAAAAGAAAAAAAAAAGGAAAGTCAAGACGGGAACTTCCCGGCTTGTCTTGGACTGCTTTAGAAGACAGAGTTGATTGTTCCAGCAATCCTTCAAACGTTTCTAATCCCTTTCTGCTTTCTGTGCTCCTGGTCGCTGACCAGGCTAATAATGCTAAATATGAATATAATGAGGCTTAATGAGAACCCCCCCTCAAACTGCCAGCAGCTACTCACTGCTGGCAGACAAAGGTGAGACTGTATTTCAACAAAAGGGTGTGTGTGTGACTCTGCGAGTTTACGCTAGAAATGAGCTGTGCAGAGTATTCCAAGCAAGGAGTAATTTGCGAATCCCCTTTTCGAATCAGTGCTGGAAAATGTGCACTGTGCAGTTACCACGTTGACAACGCAACACGTCGCAACAGTGACAGTGACAGTCGGCGAGACCATGGGAAAGTCATTTACGCCGTTCTGCAGCAGCGCCGTCTTCATATGGCGCTTTATTCAGACGGCTTGAATGTGATAAAATATGATTTATCTGATAACTAATCTAATCAGCCAGGAAAAGGAGAGCGTTAAGAGAGCAGCCAAGAGCCCTGGAGGAACTCTGACGGGAAAATCTGTTGGCATGACAACCACAAGTCCTGAACTCAACAAATATGGCCTTCATGGGAAAATGGAAGATGTGACTTAAACTGTTTTGCTTAAATTCTAAAAACTCTGGATGTGGAGAAAAATGAACACTTCACATCAGTGGAGGTGGCAGCATCATGCTGTGGGGAGGCATCTTTTTTTAGAATATCGAGGGAATCTGCTTAGGGTTCAGGGGAAGATGAACGGACTTAAATCCTGGAAGAAAGTCAAACTGGATTTAGAAATTATGTTGCATCATCATTTTAGGCAAGCAGGTGATGAGCTATATAAATACACTCATTTCTTGTTTTGCTGGTTAACACCTGATTGTGGTTTTGTATTGAGATTAACAGCCACTCATCAGTACTTCACAGTTTTTTTTAAAGGTTTTATTGGCCTTCATTTAGCAGTTGTTAGACAGAAAGGTGGGTTATGAGAGAGGGGCGGGGAGACATGTGGCAAAGGTCGGGCCAGGACTTGAACTCGCAACAGCCGCGTCGCGGACCCAGGCCTCCACACATGGGTCACACTTTATCCCTGCGCCACCGACGTGCCCTAAAATTACTTCACAGTTGCTGTTTATGACGAGAAAAGCTATTTTAAATCCCAATAAATGGTGAATCTCTGCCTAATTTACCTCCCCATTGTTGTTTCTTCACATTTTTAGCCCATTCAAGTGCTATTTTTGTAACTTTCGAACTGCATTTGTAGGATTGCAGTTGGATTTTTTTTTTTTCTCCAAGCTGAAGGCGAAACGAATAAGTGGGAAGGTAGCGCTCCTGTGTTTACAACCACCGTAATACTCTCCTTTCCATTCATGTCCAAACAAAGAGAGTGAGACAGTGCAGCGCTGCAACAACAGTTGCTCGTGAACAGGCCTCATCCAGTGTGGTCCAGATAACCATCTCATACTGTACCACCTCAGGGGGAGTGCTCTGCTCCACAGATATTTCTTTTATAAACATTTAAGAGCTTCGCCTGCCTAACAAAGGCCGCTCCAGACCGCTGACAACAAAAGGCGGCAGGAGAGGTCAGGCATAAAGAAAAACAAACAGAAAATAACGGGGCGGGGGGGAAATGCGAGTGAATAAAGAGTTCACGCCAATTAAATGAGAGAAAAGCGGCCGTCTGTCCCTCAGCAGGTCCTTTGTGACAGCTCATGCGCAGAAATACATATTCACATGCATCAGCGCTTAAATAAATACGCCACAGGCCGAAGGTAATGAATCAACTTGGGATGACAAGTCAAAATGTAACAGCTTGCTTGTACGAGGAGCACTGGAACGCCGACGCGCTCAGAGAAACACAGACAGGGGCACGGGGCGAGATGGAGAAAGGTGATATCCGGAATAGCCTGTTCATGGGGCCACCCAGCACCAGGAGTGTCTGCACCTTCTCATTCAAACACACACAGCTCACCGACTTCCCCAGCAGCACCGTTTCTAACTAAATTCGCTCTCTTCCGTCCGCGCCCGAGGGCTGCGTTGAAGCAATTCCAAAAATGGCTTTACTCCGTTAGGACCCGGTGATCTTTACCATCAAATTAAAAATACGACCTGCTTCGTGAACTCCATCGATCCGCCCTCGCTTAGATCGGGCATCAGCTGAACCGCACGTCAGGAAGCAGGTTTGGAATACAGACGAACAGCAGATGATATGTGCTGTTGGAAATCCACAGAGGGTCTTTGTTCTGCGTGACCCACTGGAACCCTCCGAGTCCCGTCAGTGTGATTACTCTTGTGGGAGGTCGAAAGACAAATGTGAGACAGCTTACGAAATACTGTTTAGAGCGATGAGTCTGGGAGACGAGGGCAAATATGTGAGCAGAGAAGACGACTTCATGACGTCTTACCTTTAAGAACGTCTGTGTTTTATTTACATAGTGACATTAAAAAGAAAATTATCTTTTTGTTGTTTGTTTTTTTTACTGAACTAACTTCATATTTGGAAATAAAAATATAGAACCTTAAATATTTTCACATTCGGTTACATTATAACCACAAACTTCAGTTTATTTTTGGGGGGATTTTATGTGATGGATCAACGTGAAGTAGCTTTCAAAACACCGTGTGTGGGAGGAAACATCATTAAACTCCACGTTGAAACACAGCAGCGGCAGCACCATGCTGTGGGGAGGCTGGTCCGAGTTGATCGTAAGGTGGATGGAAAAGACTTTAGACTCGGGATCAACGTCCAGTTGAACAACAGCTTCAAACATGTAAAGCCCGTTTACACTTTTACTTGAAAGCAAAGATTTGCAGCCAACTCATTATTTTTGATATTTTTAATAATAAAAGAATTTAACCATGTGAAATAACAGGGTAGCATACATTATATAAGCCACAAAAGTAAGTAAGTCCACGGAGAAGTATTCACACCTTAACTTTTCCACATTTTGTCACATCCCCACCACCATCAGCAGCGGCAGCAGCAGGTTTCCTCTCAGGACGGCCCTGTAAGTAGTTCTGTCTGCCTTCCCCTCAACTCCAACCGTTTTCCCCATCTATGCTAAACTCAGTCATTACCCCAGCATAATGCTGCCGTCGCCTTACTATACATAAGGACTAAGGATTATTTTATTTGTATTCTAAAATGAAAAGCCTTCCATTTATGACAACAGAAGGAGGAGAAGAAATAAGGACAGAAAAAAGTAGCAGAAGTGGTTGACGTTAGGGAAGCTGAGATTCGACACCTCGTGGCCCCTGGAGCCTGTGAGGGCTTGTTTGTACCGTGTGAGAATAAAATGTAAACATGTCCTCTTTCATTAAAGCCTCAATCTTCCATCCAGGCCACAAAAACATGATGTCTCTATAAGCTCCTTCTTTTAAAGCAGTACGTATTTAGTGGTGTTTTTTTGTTTTTTTTCTTTTCGCTGATTCACAAATAATAGCGAGAGGAGACAGATTAGGACACAAGGGACGTATGAGCAAAGGCACTGCTGTCATATAAATAGCAGCAACAACCATAACATGTGCACATGAGAAGACGCAGAAAAAAGGGAGAATATGGTGAGATTGCAGGGAGCTTTTCTTGCAATTAGTCACACTTTCAAAATCCTCCTTTATTTTGCGGTCTGCCCACACGTCCTGCCCTCCTTTGCTCATCCCTTTCCTTTCTGCCTCCGTCTGTCTCCCTCGCTCTCTCTCGTCTCCCCTCCCGGGAGGCTGGGTCTCCTGACCCCGTGTGAAAGTCAGCAGCACGCATTCCAGCCCAGTCCACGGCGCTCTGGGAAAGTTGGGCTGCCATGAGACATGAGGTTACAAACGGAGCCGAACCGCAACTGGGCGCAAAAGTAGGTGGAAAAACAGTGGGTGTGTACCGGCCCACGAAAGATTTAAGGTGGGAAACGGCGATAAATCTTGTATAAAATGTAGTCATCGTCCTTAATGATAAGAGCGTCTGATCTGTGATAAGCACAAGCTAAAACTTGTTTGTTGAGTCGGAAAACGCATTCCCCTCTTTGCTCCCGCTTTTACTGTATCTCCATCTTCTATTCCCCTCAAGTCCACAACATATTTCTCTCCTTTTGGCATGTACAAACTCCCAGATCGG